TTATTGATCAGTACTAAAAATTGGTAAATAAGGGATACTTCATACTCCTTGATTAGAAGTAAAATTTTGACAAACTACACATCTCCGCTGTGTTAGTGACTACATATTGCGTAGCACGAAACACGTAGCGCCGTATACGTAGCCCACAGTGCTCAGCGTGTAGCACGTAGCCCCAATGCGTAGCACGTAGCTCATAGTACGTAGCCCCAATACGTAGCACGTATCTCGTATTACGTAGCCACAATGCGTAGCAAGTAGCTCGAAGTACGTAGCCACAATGCGTAGCAAGTAGCTCAAAGTACGTAGCCACAATGCGTATGACATAGCTCGTAGTACGTAGCCCCTATGCATAGCACGTAGCTTATAATATTTTAGCACATATTCCACAGAGCATTGCTTGTTAGTAGTATGTAGCCGCCGTATACGTAGCCCACAGTGCTCAGCGTGTAGCACGTAGCCCCAATGCGTAGCACGTAGCTCGTAGTATGTAGCCCCAACGCGTAGCACGTAGCTCGTAGTACGTAGCCCCAATGCGTAGCACGTAGCTCGTAATATGTAGCCCTAATACGTAGCACATATTCCATAGAGGCATAGAGCATTGCTTGTTAGTATTATGTAGCCCCGGTGCGTAGCGCGTAGCTCATAGTACGTTGCCTCAATGCGAAGCCCATAACTCGTAGTAGGTAGACCCAATGCGTATCATATAGGTCGTAGTACGTAGCCCCAGTGCGTAGCACGTAGCCCGTAGTACGTAATCCCCATACGTAGGTCTTAGTAGGTAGCCCACAGTGCGCAACACGTAGAACGTAGGTCTAGAGCATAGTACGTCGCGTGTAGCACCTAGTTCTTGGAAGGTGAATTAGTTAGAGATATAATTTTGACATAAACTCCGTATCAAAGCTACACTAGCTACTCTTACTACGCAGCACGTAAAAATAATTATAATTTAATAAAGTTATAAAAATAAATTAATATTTTATTGAAAATAATCAACAAAACCTTGCAAATGGTTTTAAATAGCTTTTTTCTATAAATATGTTGCCCATATCTAATTCCATTCCCTTATAAAAATAGAAGCTACATACAAACAGGGAAAATTGTCAGTTGGTATTCTATTTCATTTAGATTACAATAAACCGACGACCTCAGGGACCAGGCTTCAGACCCTCTCTGGTACCTGTACCTTACAAATGTTTAAAGGTATAATTACTTGATTATAAATAGTCTTTCGTCAAATACATAAATGTTAAATTGAATGAAAGTGGATGTTACATTGTACAGTGGCATTAAGTGCCGAAATGTGCACCTCTGCCTACCGCTTTGGAGATAAAAAGGCGTGATGTTATGTTATGTTATTTTATGAAATGTATAGGTAGGTACCATAGAAACAACTTTCTACAAAAGGGTAGAAATATAATAATAAAAGATGAAGAATTGGAAAATGGACCGCTTCGTAAGTCGTATGGTTAGATTCTTGGTTCGAAATTATCTAAGTTCGAATATTAAATCATTTTCATTTTGATTTTATTTCTCTAGGATATAGTGTAGGCTTATACTCATTAAATTTTACGATACTCAAAACAAAAGCAAAAAAAATAATTCCAGTCCCTTTGGAACTTAAATAAACGTATGGCGTTTCCAAGGAATAAACCATCAACCTTCATCTTAACATATCAATAGAAAACAATCAAACAAATGTGACGTCACAGCCACCCAATCACATACAAATTAATATTGCTAAGGCTTCCACACACTAGTATAAAAACCCCAGACATTTTCTCAGCAACATCTCATTCTTCACAATCCTTTATCAAATTCACTTGTTTCTTTTTATATCTTTCCATCATGAACAAGATCAGCCTCTTCGTCCTTTTCCTGGCTTGTCTCTGCCTGGTCACGGAAGCACAGCTGACGTTCACGTCAAGCTGGGGCGGGAAGCGAGGAGCGGTGACTGCCACCATGTCATGCAGGAGCGACGAAACTATTGCTGCGATTTATAAATTAATCCAGGTATTCTATTTGTTTCTTGTGTCTTTATGCAGATACCTACTTACCCACTTTATATATTATATAAATCATAGGATTTTTTTTTAAGTGGGGGAAAATCATCGAGTGACTGCTTCCGCCTGGGTGAGGCGGGAGGGAATGTCAGACTCTTATTGACTAAAAACCAGACCGTTCCTTCTCCTGCACGTCGAGCCGGAGCCCCGGTTACCCGTTAGGTTATCCGCGACATATAAATCATAGGATAGTGATAAAATTGTACGGTTGGCGGAGTGGCTATTTCTGATTACGGCGTAAAGTGTTGCGGATTCGATGGCCGCACGGAACAAGTTTTGGCGTGACCCACAAATTGTTGATCCTGGTATAGTTAACATGGTTAACGCACCCAGGACACAAAACAATATACATAGTGCGGTTTACGTTTATAGTACCAACACGTTTCAAAAATATTAACAATCTGTACCTTCCTAATTTTATCTTTCATAACTAATTAATTTTTATATTTTTTTACAGAATGAGGCCGAGAAACTTCTCCTTTGCCAGAAACCTTAAAGGAGAACCTTCAATACGAAGTTTTCTAACAAACGTCGCCGCTATAATTAAATGGAGGGCTTATTTTATAATTATTGTTGTCACCACGAGGTTTTAAAGCACATGGATCCAAGTCGTGTTAAACTATGTTTTGCTTTGAATAAACTAAGCTTTGTTATTTATTTCTTTTGTTTTATTTAGATAATAGACTACCTACTTAAACTTCTTTTGAAATCTCATAAAAATACCAACGTTTGTGTAAGAAAAACCACTGAAACAACCCAAAAAAATATAAGACATCAATATAGGTAGATACTACGTGCTACTTGGGTAGACAGGTATCTACTAGGTACGGTAAGTACTAAGCAGAGTAACAAGGGATCGAAAAGGTATTTTCACCTATAGAAAGGAAAACTAAGCGAATGGACTATCCTGGGATTGGTTGAGAACTCACCGGTGCATAGTGGCACACTCCGCACTCTCTCCGAGAGAATAACAAACATTACACCTTTTATCCCCGAATTGGTAGGCCGAGGTGCACCTTACGGAATTAATGCCACTGTATAATATAACACACACTCTTTTATTATTTATGTTACGTAAGGAGATTCATTCCCTCACGCGCCCACCTCCTTAGCTAGCATGACTGCTTCACAGAAGGAGGAGACGGCATCCCAATCCCCTTCGCTCCGTACCATAGTTTAAATAAGAGCAGGACGCGAGAGATCGCCATCGCCGATCACATCCCCGAGGACATGGCGGCGATGGCGGTGCTCAGCCCACGCAGAGCACACCGCCACCGTATGCTCCATCGTGTCCTCCGGGCGGTCCTCGCAGAGATGACACCCGGGCGTTTCCTCCCTCTCAATCCGAAGCAAGAACCTAACTCGCGTGTCCGATAAGCACCTGCGTCAGGCGGTAGGTGAGACGTCGTAGCGTCTTTCAAGCCACGCCTCAAAGTCGTCGTCAAGATCGTAATACGTACACGTATAATATAATTGTGTATTATAGGTATTAGGTACTTAATTTTAGATAGTAACAGCGAGAAAAACATATAGCTTGAAGCTTACACGCGTTGTATTCGATTCCTTTTCGAAAAGCACTGACTGAAGTTATCGCCATCCCTCTGGTACCTATGTTATATTTGTACATAAATACGTAGCATGTTTTCCAAGTTTTATAAAATTTGTTACTTTGTTTTTTTGCCAAGGTTGGCCACAATAAGTAGAGGTAGTTAATGAATAAATTACACGACAAAAAGTTCATATAAAATTTATTTAATATCTAGTCATAATAAACTTAAAACTACATGTTTAGATAAGTCCTGCTAATCTGGATATTAATTTTTAGTATTTTTTAACAGCTTTAGTGATAAAATTGTACTGAAAATGGAAAAGATTAAATTAAAACATTATTGATGGCCCAAATAGCCAGGTTTAATGAGTAACATTTTTTTTTATTTAGGTCCTGTAACCATGCTTATAAATATTTAAAATCACAATATTCAATTTATTAATATTTATCTTTACAGATTAACTTTAACAGCTACTTTTGCAACCTTCGGTTACTTCAAATTTAAAATTAATATTTTTAATACCGACAATAAAAATAAATCAATGAAGTACATACATAGTATCATACTATAATAATGTTTTCTTTAGTTTCCAAAATTATATTCTGGCAGTTATCTGAAATAAACACTGAATTGTTTATATTAGCATCTTTACATATCTGTATGATCAAAGTTATGCTTCAATTATTATTAAAAGCTGAATTACATTTGACAAAATAAAAAAGTATTTAAAAGTTTTCCATTGACAATATGTTTTCTTTTTTCAAGTCTAATGAGATTTTATTCTACTCTATGATGCAGAAGGTGACAGGACTTGTGTCACCCCACTGGTGTCCAAAGACATCCTACTGGATCCAGTGTGGGGAATATCATCTTCATCCAGGAGTTCCCTCATTCTCCTCTTATAAATTTCACTGTCAGGATTATTCTCTTGGTTCCTACATCTGTCTAGTTTCTTTTCTATAAGCCTGACCTTCTCCCGAGCAGGACTTTCCACCATTTTAACTAATGACCTAATTTTTCTCACAGCTTCAATCAGTACTGCTAGCTTGTCCTGTCCTGCTTCCCTAAACAGCATGTCTGTCACATAGCTATCCAAGTTCTCCTGTTCCTTGCTAGCTGCATGGAGCACAGCCGCCAGGGCTATCTGTGACGGAGCGTACAATAAACAAGCATCTGTCAAAAATACCTTCTCAAGGAACTCGTCAATACCTCCTCTGAGCCGCTCAGGGTTTGCTAATGAACATCTTGTTTTAATTTCAATAAGGAACCCCTCAACTGGTCGGAATGGATTGTGGATGGTCAAGTGATAGTTCAGCTGTTGCATTAGCAGTAATTCATTGTTTAATATAATGTCTGACGCTTTATCTCTGTCCCCTTTGATATTTGCCACAAATTGACCTATAGATACGTTGAATTCTTCCACTTTACACGCCAAATATACGCATGTTGCGAGAATTTCTTTGGGGTGATAGTCCATCGTTGAATTGTAGAGATAAAACCGTTTAAAGTAATGGAATGCTGTGCCAACGACTCCCTTCGGCATTGGCGGGCTGAAGCGCTTGCAGAACTCTTTTAGATGCAATTCATATTGTTTTAAAAGCAGTCTTTCTTCGTCAGGAGATAAAAAGAAATTGTACCTTTGATATTCATCAATATGAGTTCCATGTTTTGCAATATAGTTAAGGTTATGCTTCTCACGCAATATTGCTAATTCACCTTCGTCGCTGAATGTCCAAAACTTCCTTTGGGAGCTCGTTGAAAACATTTTAGTAGCTTTACTAATTCTTGAGGCTTAAAATTAAGTACAAATCACCACAACAACAAAACTCCCCAAACGGCCCCAAAGATTTAAGTTTGATTTGACATTTTATATCTTTTTTGTCAAAACATGTCCATGTAGCTTGCTATATGAAAAAATATCTGATTCCATTTTTATTAAACAAATAAGAAAATTGATAAAATGTATGGATAATTCCTCAGCTTTAAGAAAATAAAATAAAGAAGTAAACCATATTTATCAAAGTTCCATAGTTTATGAACGGTAACAGGGATTGTTAGTTGTTTTGTCTTTTATTTGGCAACTTTGCATCATCTGATTAGACAATTCATTTTACGCAAAACAATCTCAATAATTGTGTAAAGAGTAAATTAATGCATTTGCTTTCGAGAAATGTCACCTTTTTTACAATATAATTTTATAAATATACAAAACCTCGTTAAAATCTTTAGTATCCATATAACGCGGTTACAGTAATAAATTATAAGACCAAAATATGTTGCAACGGAACGTAGTCCTTCGATTTTATCTCTTTCCCACTTGTTGCGTTCCGCTTGCTTTTCTATCTCAGAAATATTTGAGTCATCTTCTAGTAGTGAGTGAGTGCTGCTGATTGTCATAAATTAAAGAAATTAGACTATTTTTTATAGCAATTATCATTTCAAATAGTTGATATAAAGTGAAATCAAAATGTCTCGACCGGGTGATAGGCCGAACCAAGCCCAAACATACAAACTTGTGGTCGTCGGCGGCGGCGGTGTGGGAAAAAGTGCAATCACAATACAATTTATTCAGGTATTTATCGGCATATTTGGCCTAGATCCGTGTGCGGAACAGATGTTTCAATATCTAAGAGTTTCTATTCTTATTTCTGAGAAATCGTCGGATTCTTAAGTAATCTAAATGATGCGTTCATGATTAAAAATAGTGTTTGTGAGACAGTCTATGTCAAGGCCTGTTTGAAGGCGACACCGCCCACTGGCGTCACCGCATCTGGTGCTGTATTGGTATTGTTTGATGTTCCAGAGCTACTTCGTGACAGACTATGACCCCACCATCGAGGACAGTTACACCAAGCAGTGTGTCATCGACGATGTGCCGGCGAAACTGGACAGTGAGTACAGCTCTTCATGTTTATGGTCTCCTGGTGTTCAATATAGTGGGTGGTCGAGTAAACTGTTATGGTGCGTCGTAAATATTTGTGAAGGCCTTGCTGTAACGCCTTGTATTCAATGTTATTGGTTAGTCATAGCTACCTGTTGCAGATGAACAATTTTCTTAGAACTGCAATCTAAATTTAAAGAAAAACATACTTCATTCCCGGTTTTAAACATGATGCAGAAGTGGTGCTGTTATGAATCACCTCTACTTTAAAATAGAGAATCATACTCTATGCTGAGTACTGTGTTATTCAATTCATAGCGAACCACACAAATTGGTCCTCTAAATAAATTGGTACAGAGCATGGTGATACTTGACATACATTCACTGAATTTAGTCAACAATTCGAATCTTTTATAAGAAAAGTCATCTTCCAATAACATTAGATCCCATGTCAACATATTCTATTTAAACTGTCAAACACCAAGCGGTCACCGGTGACCGCAACCTATTGTTCTATAATTGTGTCTACAAAACCGGTACTCGACGAGTTAAAAACATAATTATATTTATCATTTTACACAACAATGCACATGGCAACATCTAAATTCAGTATAACTTGTAAACATGATGTTTGTACGTAATTATTATCTGTGGTATCAGAAACTTTTATCACAAGATATATTGTCTCTGATAAAACCTTGATGTTTTCTTGTGTTTCTACTACTATGATATTTGTATGAGATGCATTCATACATGATCTATACTAGGAATTATACAGGTTTCACCTTGTCCTAGTTACCAAGCTTAGAAAGTATTATATTGCTTTTACAGAGTCATTAAATTATAATAATGTAGCTTGTTAGATAGATTTTGTATTCTAAAAATAGATTATTATCAGGTTTTGTAATTGGTTTATAGATATGAAGAGATCTTTGATTGCTTAAAAATAATGGTATCACTAAAAGAATTTGTAGTTCTAGTATCTATATTTTAAAACTGGTTTGTAATTAATTTTGTTCTACATTTATTTTGTTTGTGAATGATATGTTCTACGAGTTAATTTTCATAAGTTACATAATTATCAGACTTCTTTTTGATGCTAGTACTGAATATACTTTACAGCAGTGGATCGCACAGTTGTCTGGACTACAACCTATCTAAATTCCCAAACTTAGGTTGTACAAATAGCTTGTTAGTACTTCATTCTTCTGACAAGGCCCACTAAAAACAAGTTTGCAACCCGCAAATGGATTGCAATCCATAGCTCCACATATATTCCATAGAACCCATAGTTTGGAAAACCCCATTTGCTTAGAAGCCTCTAGGCTAGTATTATGACGTTCATTCAATATATTTTTATATTTTCGCGTGATTATGTTTTTCTAACGTTTTCTTGTTTTATACCTATTTCAGACATGATGTTAATTGTTAAATGAATGCATAAATGAAATGAACTCTTCTAAGTAGTATTGTGCCTTCTCCTTAAAAAGTAACAAGTAGTTATATGGTTTTGTGTTACATAATTTATATAAGTAGAACAATTTTTTTTTTGTTTTGTTATATAGTTTTTATGTAATCTTTTATGTATTCAATCAATTACCGTGTGATTGATGACCAGGCTGACAACACAAGTCTTTAATCAATACTTCATAATTTGTGTATTATATTAAGAAACACTAGCTGAACCCGCTACTTCGTCCATGTGGAGTAGTAACATTGAATAGTTCTTCACAGCCCCTCCCCCGTAGGTGATAGCGTGATAATATGTAGCCTATATATTGACCCGGCCTCTAAGTAATATTCATGTAAAATTTAAAGTATATCCATGCAGTACTTTTTGAGTTTACGCTGGACATACATACAGATAAACAGACATAAATTCTAAAGAGTATATTTTTAGCTTCGATATATCGATTGTAGATCACGATTCAAGTATTTTTTAAAAACATATTTAATGTAGGTACAGTTTTGACTTTCCTACGATTTTATTATATGTATAGATGTCGCGGAGAACCTAACGGGTTACCGGGGCTCCGGCTCGATGTGCAGAAGGAACAGGGTGGGGTTTTAGTCAGTAAGAGTCTGACACTCCCTCCCGCCTCACCCAGGTGGGAGCAGTGATTCGATGATTTTCCTCCCTTAAAAAAATATATGTATGTAAAGTCAACTAACATTGTTATATAGCAAAAGCCATTTCCAACCCGTTATGTAATTAATTAGATAATATTCTATATATGCGAATATATGTATGTATATATTATAGCAAGGTTACTTAGCTAATGTATGAGAATATTTCATGAGTGAAAATAAAACATTTTATAAGTACTGTTAGTGAAAATTTGGGAAAGTGTGGGAGAGACATGCTTCGGCACGAATGGACCGGCCTGATCGGAGTGATACCACGGCCTCACAGAAAACCGACGTGAAGCAACGCTTGCGTTGTTTTTCGTCGTGTGAGTGAGGTTACCGGAGGCCCAATTACCCTTCCCTTCCCCAATCTCCCCAATCCCTGAATCCCCAACGATCCTCAAATTCCTAATCCCCAAAAGGTCGGTAACGAACTTGTAACGCCTCTGGTGTTCCAGGTGTCTATGGGCGACGCCGATTGCTTACCATCAGGTGATCCGTCCGCTCGTTTACCGACTTATGCCATAAAAAAAATTCAAATCTATCTATTGTACCATCACGGTTTATTATTGCCGAAATATAAAGATAGAGATATAATTATTGAATGTATAATTTATTTTTACCAGTTGCGCCTGTGCCCAACTTAATTGCTCGCAATCAAGAGATGGCGAGTACACTTCGATATTCGATAAAATTTGCGGGTAATTTTCGACGTGGCGAACTGTTCAGCAAATAATGATGATGATGATCTAAAATAGTCCAAGACTTAAGAAGTTTAATTGTCACCTCAGTTTAATACCTCTATATTCCCTCCACAGTACTCGACACAGCCGGTCAGGAGGAGTTCAGTGCGATGAGAGAGCAGTACATGAGGTCCGGTGAGGGTTTCCTCCTGGTCTTCTCAGTGGCTGACCACGCTAGCTTCGATGAGCTTTACAAATTCCACAAGCAGATCCTCCGCGTCAAAGATCGGGATGAGTTTCCCATGCTTCTGGTCGGAAACAAAGCTGATTTGGAACACCAGAGAGTGGTGAGTAGAAGTTAATTATAGTTGGTGGTTATGATGTCATTGAAAGGCCAAATACAATTAGTTATAATAATGAATAAAGGACAAAGTCAGTAATAGTCCGTGAAGTATAAAAGATTATGTTTTACCAATAATACAGTGGTCTCATTTTTATCTAAACTTATCAATATCTAGCCTTACAGCCAATAACACTGAATCTAGTTTTCTTGTTTTGTACACCATTTGACGCATGTAGCATATTTTTCGTCACCACTATCACTACATAGTATAAAACAAAGTGCTATCCGCTGTCTGTCTGTCCCTATGTATGCTTAGAACTTTAAAACTACGCAACGGATTTTGATGCGGTTTCTTTAATAGATAGAGTGATTCTTAAGGAAGGTTTATATGTATAACACATGCATATAGCACCCGAGCGAAGCCGGGGCGAGTCTCTAGTTAATGTTAAAGTATCATTAAAAGCCTTTATATAGTAAAATAGTAATAAATTAATGACGTCATAGAGTACTGCTAACTAGACAATGAAGATTTGTCCTAAACTAGTCATATTACAGTACACTACAAAATGAAACACATCTCGTCTTCTAATATGACTAATTGTTGCAAAACAATCTATATGTCCTAGATTATACGGTTGAAATTTATAAATACTATAGTTTTAGTCATGGGGAATACTAAAACCGCAATGTTTTCCCTGCTTCGGGTTTTATGAATGACGATTGTTATTGTTTATGTACTACCTTATATAGTATACGTAGTAAACAACGTTATCGCACACGTAAAATCATTCATGAAAATAATAGTCGTGATTCAGGTGTGGAAAATTTAGGAAATATAATATGCGATAAGCCAGTAAACGAGCAGACAGGATGGT